GTATCAATGTCCCCTATCATTTTATCGAAACAAATAATTTCACTTTCTTCGTCATCACATTCTGAAGCACGGTATGAGGAGATAATAATTTTACAGTGTTGTAAAAGTTGATGAATGCAGTTCGTGAAGATTATGCAAAGCAACAAAAATCAAAACTAAATTTCCTAAGAAGTGATCACTTTTCTCTACTCTATTTTAAAGAGATTTTTATAGAGGTTTAAAGAAAGCACTCAGAGTATATAAAAAAACAATGTGTTTGAGAGGATGAAGAAAGAAAAGCAAAACATTTGAATCTTTACGAATAATTCATTTCTCCAGTCTAAAAATCTCAGTAGAATAAAATTTACCCCGCCACAATAGAAATACTTCCACAAATTCTTTCAACAATGTTCAGTTGTTAAAAGTAGCATTCTTTGTATGACTCAAAATTGAACAATCTAATTCTATAATGCATAAATTTTAAAGTAACAATGTACAAGTTAGATTTGATAGAGACTTCAAATACAAATTTGATAGAATGCTTTCAACTAAAAGTTTTATTAATGGAGAAGATATTAAATTAGAATCTGATCTTCCTTATCTCTTTCAATATCAAAAGGAGCCCCCTTTGTGAATAGATTAAATGTAAAATCTTCTTTGTGCATGGATTGAAAACTAAGTAAATACTATTTTTACTCTATAACAGCAAGTACAAGTCAGTTTCTTGTCTTGATCGTTCTACTAGATTATATCTCTATTCCTCTTCTTCAGAAATCTGTGTCGAGTTATGAGGCTCAGATAATCTTCCTAACTCAGTCACTAATTTTTATCTTACGAAATTCTAACAACACTAAAACAACGGATTCACGCATGAAGTTATTCCATGACTCTTGGATTTCTGTGAACCTCATGACCATTGATAAGATATGAGTCAGATACAACTTTACACGATGAATCACATGGTGGAGAAGGAATGGTCGAGACTGAAGCAAAGATCTTTGAGGTTAATGATTGATTGCAAGCACATCGGTTGGACACAGCACTGATGTTCGACTATTTACTACCCCAGATGTGGAGTCTGAATAGTTGTCCAGTCCATCATTTACATCACTTTAGCATCAAAATCTGACCCTTAGTCAATCTTAAATATGAACAATAAGTCTTTAATGAGTTTCAAGAAATGCTTATACAAGTAAGAAGAAGACGAATAACCACATAGCTGAAAATTTTTCCAAATACTTAATTTCTGTCCGGCATATTAGTCTCACTCAAGTCATAGTGAGGGTATCACGATAAAACTGGATATCGTGATAAATCGTGTAGTTCGGATTTATGATTAGATTTTTACCACATCACCAAATTGTTTGTACAGCTTTGGTTGATAAATGCTACTCTCGTGGCGGCTTGGGCGAGATTCTTATCTGAACCAGGAAACAAGGCCTCAACCAGCTTACTGCGTATGCTCAAAGGATTGGGGGCCTCAGTGAAAGCCACTTGAAAGGTTTCGTTCACTCTTACACATGTATGGATTCTCGTACTCTACTGCTCTCAGTAAAGAGAGAACAATTTTACTAACATACTACATAAGATGGTTCTTGGGTTGTGAGTTGCATGCGTATGTTTTCATTTTCTATTCAATGCGAATCCACTTCCACCCCGCGAGCAGGAAAAGCTATAACAAGAAAAACCTATAGTCTCTCAAGCTTGCAAATGATTAATGGTGAGAAATCCATGAAAATATCCTAACTCCTCGTCCTTACAGAAGAACCAAATGTAAGGTGCAATTGCAAACAAATTCGATATGTACAATTTGAACGAATTAAATTAGAATTATCCACATGCGTAGCATATTCCTTTCCAATTTGGAAAATACTCCGAACTCAGGAAACTCTGAAAATTGCTCTAAGTTCTCACCTTCACCTGTACTATACAGTAACTTTAACGAATTTTGAGCACTGTTTTCTGTTGCATACTAGTACCTGCAGCCCAACCAAGAACCAATTTTTGATATGGAGGTATTTGTGAAATAAAAAAGTAAATACTCAAAACAAGAATAGTGTTCATAATACAATTGATATAAAATTTTTCAATACTTGCAAAAACAACAAGTGGAAGTCCAACCCGCGTGTGTGATGGAGTTCATATTTAAGATTAGAAAAAAAAATTGAAATTTGAAGACATCTTTTATAAGTGATTCATTTTTTTTTTCTACTTCAATATATTATTCTCAACTTATCAAGTTTAAACTTTGCAAAGCGTTTATGATATTGATTTGCTATCTTTCAAATTATAGATAAGTCTCAATTCGTTTTATTTTCATCGAAATGGACAAGAATTGATGACATGACTTTAAGCTAATTCAGACGCGCCACTGATGACAGCGCCAAATTTTATCACTTTTCGTATGTGCATGCAGTACTTGCATTCACATTTAGAGGATTACGTTTGGCAAGTTTTGTCAACCAACTTCCTTCGAGCAATTTCCCATCGACTGAAAGATTTGCCGATATAAAAGAATGTTTAACAATGTCTGGAATGTCATACAGTTCGGTGGCGTCCAAGGACAGTCTATGATCACTTCGTCAAGTACAGCCAAGAACCAGAAAAATTACGGAAATCAAACACGGAAATTGGTTTTCAAATGGTTTGACTTCAACTTTGGGTGCACAGCGTGATTTCTCAAATTTGGTCTATTTTGAAATTGGTTACCTTCAAGTTGAACCGTTATTCATGTTTGCGATGTTTGACATACAGATTGCAATGGACGAATTTCAGCTCTGAAGTCAAATGTTTTTCACGCCACCTCGCGAAATGAAGTTCAGTCCAGAAGTCGAAACGATTAATGCAACACCATTTCATCAATTATGTATTGTTTGTCCGCAGAGCTTCGATGTCATGTTGAAAGCTCAAATTGGGCAGTGAGTTTAAGATTTACGGAGAGGTCAGGGAGCCTCAATGTAATAGATGCTTCGGCTGAGCACCTCGATTAAGGCACTTGTGATACCAGTGAGTCCCTAGATACACAATGCATTCATGTTCTGCTTCGACAACGATAATTAACCCAAGTTTCGATTATTGACTTAGATGGAGCTTAAGAAACAACATACAGCAGTCCTAGATTTATGAATCTTCAACAGCAATACAAACGACGAAGAGGCTACAAGGATCTGGAAAGTAAATAATACGATGATTGTAAAAAGTTAATGTCGGACTCACCAAACACAAAATTTCGATTTCTTTCTGTAAGTGTATTGAAGCACGCTATCATTACTATTTGCTTATGTATTCGCAATATATTGTCTTGGATGTTACATATTTATTTATTGAGTAATTTTAATATGTGTCGGAGCCACCAGAAACAGTCCGACTGACAGCGTGAATTATCAGTCACTATACTGACTTGTATATTTCTGGTATCCAAGAGTGAAGCTTGTCAAAACTAGGAGAAAGGGAATCGCCTCCCACATTCAATTTTTTTTCATTGACAAAACCTTTTCAGAAATGAAAAGGTTTTGTCAGTTGAACTTTACCTCTCATACAAGGACAAACCTTTAAATAGAGACATTAGTTCTTTAGAGATATCAGAAGGTTAATATCTCCTGTGCTCAACCCTTATAAAGAACGGATAATAATGAAATTGAGAATTATTATTTGAGCACAGAATGCGCTTCTTGATTGGTTATTATGATGAAGCCTAGCTATGTTAGCAGATGGCAGACGTTATCTAAGGCGGTTTTTTTTGCCCTTACTTTTCCATCACAATGTGCTGATATTTCTCGGCAAATCCTTACTACAGCCACAAAAGATGACTGTGATGATTGTGGTTTTATCACAATTTTATGTTCACATCTTACAGGTTCTACAGTATCACAACATATTCATTGCCATATTCTATTTAAACAAAAATTGAAATATATATATACAAAAATGTATGTAGTCATTGTTAAGCAGATCAACCGATTATACATATAGGAAAGCTCAAAGACTTAATGTAAATTGTCGTACTCCGTTCTCATTCGTGATATAAATATGCATAATTTATTTTTTTAAAATTGAGGTAATTAAGGTTTAGCCAAATTTATATTTCTTTATGCTATGCAAGGTCAAAATATGTATGACTTATTTCAACGTCTCCACAGCTGGCCGTGATGGGTTTTTCACCAAAAAATTTTGCAACTGAAAGAACATATATTGGTTTATCATTGACAGTAAATAAAAAAAAAGGCGTGCTAAGATACACCAAGATGGTTCTCTGGGATTTTCACTGGAATTTACAAGTATGGGGATTTTTCCAGGCTACATAAACCTCGAAATTCGTGTACAGCTTTCTTGTCGTTTTAATGGTCCCTTACGCGGATGCCTGCTAGAAATTCCTTGATGGTCAGATTCCCCAAGTTAATTTCGACATAATTTCTAATGGGGTCTTCCCATCTTTTGTAATATCTATTTGGCCCCCGTTAACCATTTCTTTGGAGTAGGTTTTTCTGGGTAAATTTGGATAAACAGAGGTCTTACTTAGGCACATGCTTATTCTTCCCAGTATCAGGAACCTCCATTTTGCTTCTACGTAATTAATCTGCTCCCTCTATGAAGCAGCTGGCATCTGGAATTTAGGCAAGGACAAGCTCTCAATCGAAAACGGGAATCTTGTTGTATTTTTTTGAATGTCCAGGTGGGAACGTTCAAAGAGTCTTTCTCCACAATTGACTTCGATCTAAAGCTTTTCTAATCTTTCACATTTTTTATGCTCATTGCACTGCTAAGTTATATGTTAATATTATAGTCTCCGCATACTGGTCGAGCAATGAATTCCCATCATGCAGTTACTATGCTTTGCAACAAAATATCACTTGGAGATTAACTCAGCTGCAGCAATATCACGCTTTCTTCTGGACGATGATGTGGGAAATAGAAAAAAATACGTCAGTGCATGAGCAGGAGACATGAAACGGACTTGAACATTGACAACGTGAAGAGAATTGAGTAAACAGAATAATATTTTATATTGAGGTCAATCCTCCTTTAGCCCATCTCTAACTTGATCAAAAAATCAGGCTCCATTTTTGGCTGGTGAATCTGAAATTTACGACAACATTCTTGGCTGTAACTTGATGTGATTGATGTTCATTGCTCACTCATCTGTCCTTGGGCCTCAGTAGGCTTGAAGACAAGCTGTTCTGGACTGCATTTCAAGCCCCATCTGTACATTCTTTACACAATATGAACCCAAAATCATTCGAGCACTGGAATTCAGGTCCATACGATGCACAAGACTTTGAGATGAGATGTAGAAATTCCTCCTCCTGACGAGTTGAATACAAATCAGGGCTTGTGATGGAGGGTTCATCCTACTTAATTTCTATATACACGTGATCGATGTATCGGGATCAAGATATGTGTTTCGAGGACACTTATGCTTCCGTTTCCTGAGAACTGCCACCAGAAGATATATGGCGAACTTTGGATGCCGCGAAATTCTTCTGTGGATCTATTGGAGCTGCCTAGACTGCTCTTACTCCGGCTGACAGGTCAGTGTCGGACGGGAGTGTCTTGCTTAGATCGGAGCTCTGAGATTCGCGCCTTGGGACGCTATGCGACCTCGATAGGAGAGCTCGTTCGAACCAGTTAGACCTTGCTCTGGACAGGCTTATGGATCTGGCCACAAGGCATGGTGCAAAACCGTCAATTTTCTCTCGATCGCCTTCACGCTGCTTCGTACTGGAGGCTTTGTTGTCTGACCTAGATATGGAAGAAGGTGCTTTTTCGGGAGCAAGATCATCGGATCGAGATGTACTTTGAATACTTGAACAACATATTAGGTCCACGAAATCTTGGGCTTTCAGTTGCTCTTCACAGAATATTAGTTCTGTCATCTCAGCCTCAGCTTCTCGGTGATGTGGAGCCCTCGATGAAACATTATGATTTTCACCCGTCCCATCTGAATTTTGAGCAGCCAGGGCAGATCGAGTCAATACCTCTTTCACATCTTTCCACGCCGCCTCAAAAGGATCCACTGAGCTGGAACCTGCGCCTGCATCGGTCTCCTGAACTTGTCGCTGCGTTTCAGAGAAGTTGTGGCTCCTCACCAGAATCGAGGTCACCAATGTAATCACCCCTCGCAGACGGGGGGGCCGATCACTGGCACTGGATCCAGTATCTGAGTCTTCTTGTGGATGGTAAGCTCTTCTTTTGCAACGTATGAAGATATAAGCAGTGAGAACAATGGCAGATACGGAAACTATGACGCACCATACGATTATGAGTAGGAGAAGACCTGCTTCCACGATGTGATCATCTTGGAGATCGACATCAAACCCCTTCATGCTCTGCAGGACAGAATTAATCCTGAGATTCATAGCTGTACCCTCTTTCATTGCTCTGGTTGAGTAACCTCCTGTGATAAGAAAGCCGTCCTTTCTAATATGCCGACCGCTTCTGAAACCAACAAATTCCAACAGAAATTTGTGCTTCGAAATTACGAGAATTAGGCTTGCACTCTGTGAGATTACGATCAGCAAGACAAGGAATATCTGCTTTGACTGTACGTACGTCTGTGAGCTTGAACTCCAACTCTTAACTTGTGAAGAAGAGTTGTAGTGTGCATGAGGCTCGATGGTGGTTGTGAACATATATGATGATGGTCCGTTTCATTAATCAGTTGGACTGATAACGTGTCCAGGAAATGTGTGGCAATTATTGATCGATGAGATCAGCGATTTGAGTTCTGGGAGTTCGACCCGTTCGAACGTACACGTGCTTCTAGAATGTACAAACGCCTCCATTTCAAAAGATGTCTCCCTAAACGGTTGTACAACGAAAATCTTGGTGTACGTGGTGGGTTTCATGAAAATCATCATGGCCCGTCATTATTGAGCTCCGTGGTCTGAACTTGCATCGTTCCGATCAGTCTTGGCAGCATCAGAGCATTGGATTGCTGTGTTTGCTTAGCTACAGATTGTAGACTGTGAAGGGACCTTCATCAAGTGGTTTTTCCATGCTCTGAGGCACTCATCTGTTAGTTCTCTTTTTAGCTTGTAAATGATCAAAGTACTTTTCGATTGTATATGACGAAGCGCAAATTTCCGAATCTTTTCCTGGTATTTGAAACAACATCCTCCTATCCAAATAGAATGAACTTAAATTGTACCATTTGTACACTGAGGACACTTCTGGTGAACAAACAAAACGCAACTGGATGGTTTGATTTGTTCTTACTAAGAAAAAAAATTTAATTTTTTTCTAGTAAGAAAAAATTGTTAAATTTACACCTAGAGTTATTAAATTCATACCTTCCCACAATTTTTCATGGAATCAATACATGTAACAATTTAATTTATCTCATTTCTTTCTCAATTTTTTTTACCCCATGTGCACAAGCTACTTTCAGTGGAGATTGCATAGCCTTGGCTGCGTGCAAAAGCTTGAACACTTTGAAACTTCTCGTCAAAAGTGTTATACAATGTTTTTGGAGGCTCTTGTTTGCTGTATTGTCAGAAAGTATCGTGTCTGCAGAAAATAGTATGGCTGGCTCTGAGATAACTGAATCTGTCATTGGAGGTGATCTGCTTAAAAATTAGAAAAGAGAGATGCAACATGGTACTTTGCATTGCATCAATATTTAAATTTAACCTTGTTACCATGACAACTGCGGCGGGGGATGAATTTAACAATCCGATTTGTGAGTTGAAGAAAAACGTGAATCAAACTCTTATTTATGGTCTTGTAGGCTTCTGAAAACAGCATATGTCACGATTATGTTCGATGAAATTGAGTTGTAAAAGGGCATGAAAGCATATTCCTTCACTAAATTGAGAATTACAATGTAAAAAGCTAATTAAAAATCAAAGCATTCTACATTATGGAAATTAAGACTAAGTTGCGTTCGCTGTATGAATTTTGGCGTATATACGCACTGTAATGTACAAATTGTAAATATTCGAACGAGTAAATAGTGATATACAAATATATCCAATCTAAATCTAAGGTAAGAAAATGATAATGTCATTTGATAAAAGTATCTCTTAATTTACACCTCACAGTAGAATACAACGTACAACGCTATACTACAGTATGTCTGAATTAATGTGACTTCAAAGATTAGTTAAAAGTATACTCGTAAATATTATTTTAAACTTTATGCGGATCAGAAGGTCGGATACTCAACATATAAAGAAAACTCATAGCGTGCCAGCGAAAGCTTTAAGTTGCACATCTTCTTCTCCGAACGCATGGGGTATTATTCATGATGTACCTGCAAAGTGCAACTCAGTAATATTCCTGGGATGTAAGGGAAACAGTTTCCAACCTCCTCTCTTTAGGGAGATGTCACATGTGAACTGCTCAATTAATCACGTGAAGCTGATTAAACTGTCGCTCAAGCTAAAATTATTGAGAGGATGCGCGACATCATGGCGTTGGGTCTTTTGTATGGAAAAATACTTTCTCTTTCTCTTGTTGTTTCCACCTTATTGGTCACTAACTCATTTCTTTTTGCCTCCTGATATCTTGAATATTCTTTAATTATCGTCTCATGGTCGATAATTTCTTCTCATAACTAGCTAAATGAGGATATTCTTTTCTTGTATTCGTTGTCTAAGATTTGAGTAAATTGAATTTAAATCATGCTTCTGGACATGTTAAAAAATGGAGTAAATTATTTCATAGTACCCCCAAGGAAACTCAACAAACTTGATGGGATCCAAGAGGTCTTATTTTACCCTATGTCATGCAATTATCAAGTTATAAGAACTTTTATTGAAACATAGCTGAAGGTGACCTGAATCATGCAGGCTGCATGGCCGTAGAATGGGTCCAATAGGATGAAATGAAACCTGTTGGGTCACATGAAATAATTTGAGTTTCCCAGAGGTCCTATCAAGTAATTATCTCCTTACAAATGCCTCTATAGAAGCTACTCCTCCCATGAGTGATTACCAACACATAGCTCGAATTTGGTACTCATGTGCTAACAAAACTATCTAGCATTAGTAGAGTTCCAGAATAACCAACAAAAATTGACAATAAGTTATTCATCCGAGCATCAATGATTATTGCTAATAAACATATGGATTACGCATGGTAAGGCATGAGAGTGGTGATTTTAACGCAGAGATTAATCGTGAAAATCTTGTTTCTAACATAGCTTTCCTCGGTTTTTGGTGCACCAAAATGGTTACAGCCGTTTGGATCCTTGGGCATTGTCTGGAGGCATTTTTTAGTTCATTGTTTTTTAGTTCTTGTAACAGGTTACAAGAACTCGTATTGGAACATTGTTTACGACGAGCTTGAGTCCGTCCCGATCCAATCCGTGTTGTGTTGGTTCCAGGGAATGTGTTGCGCAGGTATCATCAAGAAATTCAAACTTTACATTATTTGACGTCAGAGGTGACAGGATTCTGAAAACGTCAAGATTCACCGTTATAATATATGATGATTAGCTTTACATCGTTATTTCATGACAATAAAGTTGCACTAACAATGTCCACTTCTTATTGATGGAAGGACCGGACAAGATTTGGAGAAATACAACAGCGGAGCTTTATCTTTTACTGAAGGAGTAAATGATTTGATACGAGTGTGCATTTCGAAAACAATTCTATTTCAGAATGCTTCATGTATATGTCTCCATATACCCATAATTTGTCTCCACTGGAAAAGCCTTGATGTCAAGCTATTATAGAGAATTCTCTGTCAAGCTTAAACTGTGGTTGATGACCCTAAAGTTGAGGTATATGCTTCGCTGCTTGTCGACCATGTATTCTATCTTCAGCAGCCTCGCTCTAAATACATGTCACTTAACCTAAAACGATTGAACAACAGCAGTTTCTGATCTACTCTAATTTCTATTTCAGAATTTGTAGCAGTTTAATACTTAATGCTAAAATCACTAACATCTAAACTCCGTCCTCGTGCATTTACAACTCAGTTTCACATCTAAGAAGAGACAAGTCTCCATATAAGACAAAACCCATATTCTGGGTTTAGGGTTCAGATTAACTCAGTTGCATGCAGTCCACGAGGTGGAACTCTGAAACTCGATGCATGTAAAATGAATCATACGACCACCAAATGTAGCAAGCTGAACTGATTTCCTGCAAAATATTCTCCAAAATTGTAGTCCACAAGCCATCCTTCAAGCTCTGATCACCTTTATCAAATGCTCTAGGTTTTTATACGATGATCCACCTTCATCGAAGATAATCATTGAGGTAGCTTTCAGTTCCATAGACTTCTCCTTCAACTGCATACCTTCCTCTGAAGTGAAAATGATTTTTATGGCCTGCTCTATATATGTTCGGGAAACGAAAAACCCATCCTCTTGTGGAAGCAGAATTGCCACTTTTGCTTTGTGTGCCAAATATCTGGAGATCACAGTGCTGGCATGAGAAACCTCAATAACAAACTAGATATGAAAGAAACTCGCACAGGAACGAATTGCCTCAAACATCTACCTAATTCTAACCCAGTCATGCAAGGGGCAGTGTGCAAACCTGGAATTATGTAGTTGATGACCGAGTGATGGCCATGCTATGATTGGAACACCTCTACTGATACTTTCGAGGCATGAATTCCAGCCACAGTGCATCAAGAACACACCAGTGGAAGGATGGGATAATATGTCTTGCTGAGTAACCCAGCCTCTCACGACAAGACCCCGATCCTTGTTGCGAACCTCAAATCCCTCAGGCAACACATCATCCTCTTCATCGGACTTTGGAAGAGGTAGAATCCACAGAAACCGTTCTCCACTGGACTCCAATCCTTGCGCTAGTTCATGAATATGTCTCTGGTTGAGCTCAGTCATACCAGATTTTCCGAAGTTAATGTACACAACAGACTTCTTTGGGTGGTTCTTCAAAAAGTCCATGCATTTGGTATCCAGCTCGCGATTTTGGATAGAATCCCACTTGATAATTTGAACCGAGGTCTCACATGGACCAATTGCCAAAACATTTGAGTCCGGAATCTGCAACACAAGAGACAACTTTCAATTTCTATTACTTTGAAATCTGGTGAGCATAGATGCAACCAGCATCAAAGTCTATTCACGCTTAAGCTTAAAAGCACCCCGAGATTAGGTTTCTCAAGGTTTAGGGTTGAGACTGAAACCCTTTCAACAAATACTGAATGGAGGACCTACCAGCTGTCGAATTGAGTGGAGGGCATCTGCTTCAAGCTCCTCGAAAGTGTTTATGACAATCCCCTCTGCATGCTTCACAGACAGCTCTATATCCTGGAGCAGTTTTTTATGCTTCATGCCTGTCTCATCCGACATAAGAAGTGGCAGCTTCTCAAACTTTGTTTTCTCACATGGTTGGCATAGCGAAATCCCCTCATGCCCTCTGACCTCCCCCGAGGCCAAAGCTAGTGCGATGGAGCACGCAGAAATATTGGCCATTACATATCTTGGTATGTTCAGATAGGTAGAGATTTTAGTCGTCCATACTTGAAGACAATCCGACAGAAGAAATGACGGAACATCTTGATGACCAGCCTTCTTCCGCTCCATGCAATTTTTCACATAGAGCTCAGCAGCTTGTTCCAGCCGATCGCTGGACTTACCTACTGACAGTTCTCCAGATTTAAGAGGACAAACCAGTCCATGAAGATGGACGTCAGGACTAAGATTCTTCAATTTCTGGACAAGAGGGAATATCAGCTTCTCAAAGCTCAAAATCGTTACTCTGATGCCACCTCTGCTCACTCTCACCAGATGCTCGGCCAAACAAACCATCGCAGAAATGTGAAGTACAGTGGGTTGAGGCACCATGAGCATATGAGCCTGGACAGTGCAGCTAGGTCCGGAAGAACATGCTGGCTGTCGCGAGAATAACATCTCAGCCATGATCGCTGTGTGCTCGAGGCAACCACAACGAAGTGAGTGCTGCAGATGGTGCTCCCGCTTATATAGGCGATTTATGACATGTGATCATGAAGACAGAACAAGAATCGAGAACAAACTAGAAGACCTATTATTAGATCAACCTCTTTGCTCAAACTGTCTCCCTAACTCACACAACGAGGAGCTCCAATTAGGCGGTTTCAAGCAGCTGAAGGCAGAAAGTGCTCAGCTGCCTTGTATTTAGTCTGATGCCTAAATGGGCACACTGCCTAAATGCTAAATGCTAAATGCATCTGCAATGCCTAAGAGTGCACCGGGAGCCCACCACATCGTGACGTCCATCGATTCATATTTTCTAGCTGAAACTGCAACCCGCTGCACGTCTGCTGTTGTCGGATGTTACGAGTTCAATCCCAACTTGCTGTGAGAGAGACTGCGAATTCACACCCAACTTGCGACTGATGACATACGTACCATCAGTCTGTTTCAAAGGCATGCAGAAATAATGTGCGTACTCTTGAAGTTCTTGTGCCCCCACTTGCATGGATCGGAAGGCCAGTACATCTGCATCTGTATCTGTATCTGATGGGTTAGATGCAACAGTGATGGATACTCGTCTGCTTTTTTCCATAAAGGAAAATTTCAGGAACCACCAAATCTTTCTGTGTCGATGTGGACATCGACCCGATGATCATGTACTTTTGTCCCCTTGTTGATGATTAGAGATGTGTAAGGAAACAAGAGCTACAGTAGATACTTCACATTCTTTTGGTGTACCAGGAAAATGAAATTGAATTTTTCAAGCCCTTTTCATCGTACGATTGCAGACTGATGGGCATTGATGACGGTTCCGTTGTGGTTCTTTCTTCGGCGTTGCTTGGTTTCTTATTCCGTCGGCTCATACGTCTTCGGTTGTTTCGTTCTAATACTTTCTCTGTTTCTATATCGCACTTCTCGACTTGCATGATTTATTTTCACATTGTATGGTTTCTAATTCATTTCGTATGTTGGATCTTCTTTTTCTACATGTAAGAAACTTCCAATATTCTCTGTACTCATGTCTCATACGCTGTTCTATTATATTAACCTTTAACCAATATGAAGCCCAATGGCATGCTATCTCTCTTGAGGAAAATTCTTGTATACTATCAGTTCAAAAAATTGCACAATCTTAGCAGATAGTACATATTACACATTTTAATGCAATCCACTTTTCTTCTTACATTTGCGTCGAGTTTCTTCTTCCCGTTATATGTTTTCTACTACTACATGAAGTGTAATGTGTGGCCTTCTTTTAGTTTTATGTATACATTATTGGATTTTGAGTCAAGGTCAACACAATACTTTGTTCACGATATTCTTCTGCATACGAACTACCTTCCTCACTGATAATAAGATGATTGCTCTAGCTGGTGAATGTGATTCCCTCAACTAACTCCTACAAATGGCTGTATCCCAGTGACGTCAGCGGCTAAATGATCTGCAGATAGTTTTGTAACTGAATATGGGTTCTTCGAATCATTCCCATGTACAACATCTGCACCTTCTCCATTGTCCGCCTTCTCATTCACTACTATGGTTAGTGTAGCACTATCTACAGCATACTTCTGACCTCGATGACTTCGTGAAATTTGGATTCCCATTAATTCATGCTCATCAACAACGCAGACTTGTATTGTCTAGTCATTCACTGTATGTGCTGGAAATAGGCTCCATATCGTAATGGAGAGATTCATTGGAATGTGCGTGAGACTTGGTAAGTATAGCTATATTCCTGAATAATGTAGCATATCAGGGCCGCAATATAACGTTTGAGATTGTCAAGAAAAGAAAAAGTGTTCCAGGCCCACTCCAAGTCGTATCTCAATTTCTCAAAGTCTGAGACTGTGATCTGACCAAGCTCTGGATCTTTCTGGATGATGGCGTTATGACGGTAAACACGAACTGAAATCCGTCAACTAACCTCTGCACATGCTAAACAGGTGAACTTGTAATGTTAGTACTCAAGTGCATACCCACCAGATTATAATATACTTCACAGTTTTCACACCTCACACATTGTACATTTGAAGCCATTGCTCAAACTTGTTAATGTCTTCTCTACTTTCTGTCCCTAAAAAAGCACAAAATCCTTCTGCAAATATGAATTTTAAAAGTGGGTGTCCTTGAATTCTTCAAGCTCATGTACACAGTATTCAGAACTGAAAGTTCATTTCTATAGAAGGACACGTGCAATGTGTATACAGGGAATCTGCTACCTCAGTCATCCTCGTTTTCTCTTGATATGTCTAATTTCCTTGCATAATTGCAGCGGTTTTTCCATTCAGACGAATCAGATAACAAACAGACGTTTGACAATGATGCGGTAATGCTAATTTTCAGGAGTATACTTCCAGAACTGCACACTCGCTAGGTGCTCGTTGTAAGAGAACACAACCACAATTTTTTTCTTCACTCGATTTTTTGCAAGAATTCGACAGAACAAATGTTGTTCAAGGATTTAATAATAGGAGAAACTTCCGTCGGCTCATAGATTTGAGCATTTAGCGTGCTAGGCATAAAAGAATCTGGAAGTAAATTCTAGTAGTTCAACCTTTAATTGGAATTGAATCATGGAAGGAAAATCGAGCGGCATTTTTTAATTTGAAGCCGAAATTGTGCTTTTACAGCATCAAAATGAGAAGGGAGGAAGATCACTTGAAAACGGCGGTTGAAGCAAGACTTGTAAGAAAGAGGAGAGGAAGTAATAGATGTAAGATGTTAACTGATGACACATTCAACTTTGGCATAAGAAATGAAGAAAACTTTGGAGGAAAAATTAGTGGCAATTACTGCTGCATTAGAGGCGAAGCAAATAAAGGACTGAGCTTTGATAAGCATGCTTGTCAACAAGCTTCTTGGCACCGGTTAATGAGTTCAGCTAGACACAGATCGTTGTTCAAGCAGAGCAAAAGAGTAATCTCAAATACCCATTGGAGTCTCTTTTTGACACTGTTGGCATAATTTTAAGGCAGTTAGAATTATGTCAACCGAAGATATTTTGCATCTTAAAGAACAAGTAAAACATGCACAATGTTGTTTTAAACAACGTAGTAATTAGAACATGATAGTAAAAAAGACAATTGAATTTATGGGAAGTTTAAATTGAAGGCGGGAGTTGCTTGATAATAAAAAACCATCCACCAATTTATCAATTTAAACATCCGAATCTTTACAAAGTTCATCTTAAAGATCAGGACAACGTATCTAAAAAATGTTGCCATATAATGATCATATAACTACACAATGTAAGGAAACCACAAACAAAAATACAAATTTGTATTTTCTACTAGCTGATTAAAGAGCCATTCAATTCTAAAAAATTCAAATTTCATTTTCAAAAGAAGTGGCCATCAATACGTAACACTATTGAATACCTTCACTTACCGAGGATCAAATATATCCGACAAAACTAATTCCTCATTTTTTGAAAGATAAATCATTAATGGTAGATCGTGCAATGAATAGGACAAGGATCAACCAGTCTACTATGCATAAAATATCCTCTTAGTCGCAGAGAGAAATCGATTGACTATCGAATGTTTATCTTTAGAAAGATTCAAATTATCTAGAATTTACAGCACTATTATTGGACTGCATACTTTTCCTCCATGTTGATCATTATCCAGTTACGCATTTGGTGCAGAAGACCAGAAATTCTACCTACTGGCGCAATGGATATTCTTATTTCAAAACTTTGATCTCACCGTTCAGGAATAAATTATTTCATTTAACAAATGCAGAATTTCTATCTTGGTTTCAAACTCCTTGTTGTCTCAATTTGAAAATAATTAAATTGTTTCAGTTGATGGATGACACAATATTGCAATTTAAACAGGTTCTTCGGGTTCTCGAAATGACAGGGTTGAAACGTGAATAACCAAACAATTTTGTGTTTAAAGACTATCCTATCTGTTATTTATAGCATATTGTTTGTTCATGATCCTCTCAATCATTTCTTCACTTTAAGAATTGAAGATTTGGATGCCCTCTTACTGCAGATTGTTTTCAACGTGCCATGGATTGATCTGTTCCCAATCATGCTTCATCATTTGTATAATATTTCCTTACCGTATTGCAAAATATCGATCGCAGAGAGTTGAAGTCAATAATTTTGTCATCTATAATGAGTCAGGAACGTCAAGGATCCTGACATTTGCTTTTGCTTTTCGAATTTACTCAATTTATTTTCTACCCTGAATAAGTATTGGGATACGAATTGTGTAATCTTAGTTGATAATGAAAGTTTACATTCTTGTGTAATCTTAGTTGATAGATGGAAGTATAAGTTTGAATGTGAAAAAAAAACTGCATGGGTTCTTTCAACTTGATATGTCATTATTTTATAACAAGTTTAAAGTTTATTGTAAGAATTAAGTGAGTTAATGTATAATCAACCAGTAACAGATAAGGAAGAAAGTGCAGACTAGGTCGCAGATACATTCTATTTTAAGTTTACAAGGATATCTGTGAGTTGAATCATGTTATTTGTCAAATCGTTTGGTAGCAAGAATACCGTCTAATCGTCTTCGATGTTAATGACTCTGCTTGATTATCTAGTTCTTGCATTTGCGGAGTTTCTTTAATAATCTCCTCAAGCTCTTTCACGACAAGGATCTAATACAAGACGTAGGCACAAAGGCTATGTGTAACGGGTGTGCGAAGTGGCAGTAGAAGTGTATATTTTGTCTCCATAACTGAGTAGGATTATTGATTCACATCTTATTTCAATTTCAAGAGTTACTAAACAAACGTCTAATGTAGTCAATGTGTAACATGTGCTACAGAAACTATTGGTATATCAATCTTGATATACCAATAGTTTCTGTAGCACATGTTTCACTATCCCAATAGTTTATTCTTATTCGAGAGTAGATTGCTCACTCCCCAAGTTATCCTAGCTAGCATCAGCTACAGTGAGGCAGTATATCTTCTCCCTGAAATAGCCCAGGTTTCAATCTTGTAATCAAGACCGTGAACCGTTTTAAAAATCTACCCATGCGTTAACTAAATTGAGTAGTTATCTGCCATAGATTAGATGAATTGTACATGTTGACTGGATAATATGTTTGATGGCTCAAATGTTGATTTGGGTATCATTATATTCCCTTCTGTCTTATGATTATGACTGTCTAAAGCACTAGAAGAATCATAACTCACATTTTCACTTCTATATCCAAATTTAACTTTTGTTTATCTTTGAAAGTGATATTTAAGTTGCTAGAACTACTCACTTCTTGTGTAACATCGTTGTTACACATCGTCTCCACCAACAAGCTTTCCACCGAAGCCTTGCGTGAAGGATGATGACCTCTTCGATTTTCCAACCTCCTGGTTCAATTTCAGAGCAACTGGAACCAGAACCGGACTGTGAAAGCGATGGCTGCATTTAGCAGCCTCCGCTCTGGACTCATTCGACTGCATGCAAACCTTGGCATATCAGGCATCTCTAAAGTGTTTTGCAAAACATATTTGGAGTGATTTCCGACATCGTTAAAATTTTAAAGGGACTGTAAGACAAAATGTAAGTATAAACTGACATACTCGATGTTCATGCGATTGGCGTGTTTCGTACTTAGCTCTAGATAGTGTATACTTGCAGTGCTTTGGCTCTGAAGCTGGGTTACACAAATGAGAAACAGTGCTCGGAAGCTGGCTAGTGAAGACATTGATTGATATACGTGGACTATGTTGCGCTGATATTGCATGCTGCAACTGGCCTACAAAATATCCTTGGTGGAGTAGATGCACTTGACATTCATAACTTGATCTTAATTTTCCTCCATATATTGCTGCCAACCACGATGGACATCAAGAAGAAAGTGTAGACAAGGCAAGAAACCATGCAGAGGATTGCATGGCTTGGTCTTCGTGGGATAATGCTACAGTTGAAAAATTCTTGAATCCTTTAGGAATTTACTTGAATCACCATGAACGAGTTCAAGGATTTTCCGGAATATCCAAAAAAGTATATCAAGGCTGTAGAGATTATAAGTGTCTTTTGTTTCGTTGCACAGTAGTTTGGTTACGGGATGTCCGACAAAAGGCTAGAACAATTTGTTCCCAGGTCCTGTTGGTCTCTATTTTGCCCCTAATCTACTAACGCACTTGTCGCAAGCACACTTCTTCAACTTTGATTTGTTGCTGGACATTTCATCGAATCCACTCCAAGACAGAACACGTCGTTAGATTTCGAATTTTTCCTATTTTATTTTCCACAACTAATCCCATTGCATATACTCATATAATATTGTACAGACTGGAATCTACAAGTGCATACGCACATTCTACTGCTATCCTACATGTAGCGTTAAGATGGTATGAGTTACAACCTCTGATAAAGTCTATTTCTCAGTATAGACAGAACATCTAAAATCTTTCCCTTTTCATAAATGAAAAAAGTCTTAGAGGTTGGATATTTCGAGCAGAGGCCATAGCGTCCTTATCCCACTCTTCCACAGAATTCGTGCCATCGAGATCATCTGCAAATCGAAGTGCTTGCCTTTGAATAAGAATAGTAGCGAACCGCTGAGCTGCTGTAGTTACACCCGGAAGTAAATCGAGAAATATTGGCCAGCTTTCTTGACTGAAAGCCAGAATATCTGCACAAAATATAGGCGTCACACATTAATTGGCTGACTTCCATCCGTAATTCAACAAGAAAAAGGGCATTGGGTCCAATACTTTGAAACCTAGAAACAGACATTTAAGAAGAAAAAACAATCATATCTACAAATGCTCCAATTTTCAGCTTAGGTCAAACTACACTACACTCCAGTCAATAATCTTTAGTTTTATCACGAAGAGTCCGTGAAAGAGAAAATCCGCATAAAAATGCGACAGATATGATTCTCTAAAGTTGGATATTACTAAGTCCACAGTAGTATCAAAACTATACACTGTTTTGATACTTACAACGTTCAGAGATGTAAATAAAAGAAAACAAAACAAAACATCTTGCTTCATACGGTCTCCGCAGTTAGTGTAAGTACCAGCCACGCAAGGCGAAAACATATCAATGCATATAACATAGAAATGCTGCACAATTTATATTCGGTACTTGTCCGTAAAGACCAATCATTTGACATGTGATATCCGGTCATATATCCATTCAGCTCTATTATAGAATGAACTCCCACATCAGTACTTCAAAACACTTCAGATTTATGACTGTTTACACCTCGACCTTCAAACTTTCTTGTTTCATAAATAAACAATTTATTACCTGAAGGCGACGGTTGAGCACGAAAAGGTTCCGTTAGTGCCCATAGTCTTTTAACAGTATCAAGAGATTTTTGATCCTCTTCAGACAGTGTTGCCACCGAATTCATACCGAAAAAAAGACCTGGCACAGGAAGTGGCCAAGATCTTGGAGCTGAGAGGGACGCAGGAACTGGTAGACCAGGAATCCTCAAAGTGGAACCGATAAGCCTCCAGAGTTCCGCTAGTGCCTCCCGTGAGAGTGCGTCAACCGATCGTGCAAGCTGCGAGATAGAAAAGCTTCAAAAGTCATAATTGGATTCAATGGCTACTGACAAGAACCTCTTGAATACGTAATGTCAATCTCAGTCTAGTGGCATTCAAAGCAAGAGCACCCAAAAAGAAGTAAAAACCCGAGCTGACACTTGAATTACCTCGGTCAGCAACAACTCTTGGATATAACTTCCTTCGGGGGCGAATATCAATTTCAAAGCTTCCTTCGTGGATGGGTCAATGGACGACTGAGTCTGTTTCGGCCCAGCTGGCGCCATCACCTCACGGAAGGACTGAAATCCACCAACAATCTCTTCAACTCTTCCAACGTCTAGCTGTTTTTTTCCTCCATATAGGAAGTACTTGAGCGCAGCTCGTGCCCTAGGACTGGTGTAAAAAGACATCATGTCAATAAATAGATATATACTGGAACGACCACCGGATTGCCCATATCCATAACAAGAGAAACTTCATTCAAACCAAGATCATATTTTATCCAAATCTTCAGTTCATAAACACTCTGGAAAGACTGCTCCCGATAAAGCGTGAAACGTGAAGATACTACTACTTCAGTTGAAGTGGTAGTTATAACATCTTGAAGCCTGCACAGATTTGTAGATGCCTGGAAAACTATAAGTTTTAGTTAATCGGTTGAGTTGTGTGTGATTGCAATAGGAAAGATCATTTTTTATGTACCTGTCATCTGTCAACAGTCGCTTTGAGATGTAAGGATAGCACTCATCAACGATCGTGTAATCCGGATCAGCTTCCAAACCAATTCCCTCCAAAACAGAGAATGCTCTCAATATAAGGGCAAAGTACGGTGGAAGAACAAACACATACTCTTTCGACATCTTCACCAAATCATCTGTGACCTGCCACATGCAATTTTCACAGCAAAAGTCAGCATCTGTAACATGCTGAATCAAGGAAACCTACAGGCTCAAAAAGTAAAGACTGCTGTGGGAACTTTGACTTGACATCCTTATTAGAAGTACTGTCCAGTTTCGAAAATTTCATTCTTTAAAACTTTTAGATAGATTGACCCAACCTGAACAGTGTAGATTGAGATGCATTTAATAAGACCTTCAAGTCTGAAAAATGCTGAAAGTAAACCAAAGTAAAGACTGATGTCGAGCCTTTGACTTAGCATCCTACATCAATGTTGTACACTATCCGGAGATGATGTTTCAAAGTACAAATATTAAAAAATGCCAGGGTAATCAGAACACACCTCCTGAATATTAATTTTGCGGGCACCACCTCCTTGCACAAGTTGCCCAAGCACTTTGCTCAGTTGAGGGACGACTGCAGCTGTCTTTGCTGGATCTTCCATATCGGGTGGAACAAATCCCAGCCTTACCAGATCCTCTGCAACTCGGGCGTAGTCCGAATTTACCAGATGCGAAATGTACTCAATCAAAGAGTATCGCTGATCTTCCGTTACCTGCACAGAGAGGATTGATTTCAGAGACGGACAAACATGATAAAACAGACTGTTACAATCGGAGTGTCGATAGCGTGAAACCGTAATCTAAAACTTAATTTGAACATACGAGTCTACTGTTTCTAGTGCACAAATAGAAGACATCGATATCATAGAAAAGAGTAGATATCATAGATAGCTTTCTTTCCCACCTGAGTCATGAGACCGAAGTCTAAAACACATAGGCGACCATCTGGAGTTCTAAGAAGATTCCCGGGATGTGGGTCGGCATGGAGAAAGCCAGTTTCAAGAAGCTGCATTAGGTAACAGTTCAGGGCCGTCGAGACCAAAGGTAGAAGATCATCTGATTTGCTTTCAGAAAGTTTTTCTCCTTCGACCCATTCAGTTGTAAGAACCTGCCATGGTTTCCAGTTAGAGTTTATTGTCCTGTTTTTCAATTCTTCGGGTAAGATAACGAGAGCGAGATATTTCATGTGGTGAAATTCTAAAATGACGAGTACTGTAATCATTCAATCAGATAAGTACACTTGTCGACTTTCCTACGAGAAGATACAAGTAACTCCACCTCGAGTTCAGAGCCCCTTACTTATCAATCTACTGATACAATCAAATCTACTCAAATCCTCCCACAAGCAGGTTAATCTTCTTTGAGAAGACTAAGATTAACTACTGTGTCAAAATTGTATATAGTAAATTTCAATGAGTTGTTCGGTTATATATTGTGCTAGGTTATATATCCAGGGACCTTCCAGTGGCCTCCCGACTCGGTAGAGTGCTTTGATAATTTCTATACAATGCCACCGACTTGTGTGTAGTCCTTTACAAAGTTCAAACGCGCGTTGTGACATTCTTTTCATTCAATCACTCGGTAATTATTTAACGTCCTCACAAAGTTATCTGAAAAAAATTCCATTTGATGCATGCTTTATGAGATTAACAACATCGAGTAAATGGATCACTAATATTAAATGACTGCGTCTTTCTTTTCTCCATCTACTGCACTGAAACTCTCATATTTTGCCCATCCCACACGTCTCCCACGCTGTAATTAAACCGACCACGACTGCTCGGCCCCAGCGAAGGGCCGGCTTTACCGGACGATCAACGACTTGCTCTGGTTTGCAGACCGAAGTATGTAAATCTTTTGAAACTATCATATTTGAAAGCTGTTTCCTTACACCTTAGGTAAACCAAGCGGGAGTCTCCTGAAATCTGCAATGCACGAGGGGTTAGACTACACACCTTGCGAGTAGTATACTCCGTATATACACCAGGTACAGTAACATTTGACAATGACCGCATGTTCTCTGCAAACTGTGTTTGATTCTTCGCCTGCGTGGAGAAAGGTGAGCGGCACAATTACTTGAAGGCTTCGACAGCTTTATCCATCATTGACACAAACGTTCAGATGGCTGCGCAACGGCAAGATAATAAGAAAAGCTCTCAAATAGTCTACTAATGTACCTCTTGAACATAGTCGAGCTCGTCATAGAAACGAACTGCCCAGGTATCCAGAAGACCAACAAGGTCACTTTGAACACCAGGAAAATTCTGAAATGCATACGCTCCGGCTCTCAGTAGCAAAAGATCCATTGAGATTCCCTCTAGAACACCGGGCCTCTGTACTTTCACAGCAACCATTTTCCCTGTTTCCCGCAGCCTTGCTTTGTAGACCTGAACATCCAAAATGAAATTCAAAGAACATTTTATCAACCCCCCACCCTTTAACAACAGCTACGTACTTGGAACAAAAGTTATGAAGTCCAGTGGACTGGACACTCGGTACTAAACAAGACAGCTCGCATGTATAATGTTTTAGAACACTGGCACTTCTCGGGTTGCAGCAGTTTTCAAATAGAGCCGTGTAGGTTTCGCCTCGTATGTGTAACCAGGCAGTTTAGTCTACATCGTCCACATACCTGACCCAGAGACGCGGCTGCTATGGGTGCCTCCGACATTTCAGAGAAGACTTCTTCAGTAGGTCTCCCCAATCCCTGGGATATAAGCTTTCTGGCATCGTCGTTTGGAAAAGGGGGAACTCTATCTTGCAGCTTCTGCAACTCTTCTAGGTACACAGCAGATAATAAGTCTGGCCGTATGCTTAGAGCCTGACCAATCTGTAAAACCAGACGAAGCTGTCGTGAGAACTCGTGGAAAGAGCTCTTGGGAACGTCAGTCGTCTAATACAAAACTTCGATAGACAATCGGGCCTCGACTGGATCTCCGTATACTTTGGAAAGAGAAATTCGACGGGCTAATGGAAAGGGAAGAGAGAAGGGGTTGTTCGCCGTAAAAGGTTCTTCACACATGATAATCATGTCTATAAACTTGAGAAACAGTAAGAGACTAGCGGTGCAATTGAGGATCCAACATGAAGCTAGCCTCTACAGAGATCAAAAGGGGTAAAACCTTGAGTACAAATGATATAGCTGACACAGAAAGCAGACTCTCGAACAACTATCTGCAGCAACTTTCAAAAGTTGCACGGAATATGGCGAGAAAAGATGGAAATGAACACACGTTCAATGGAAATGTATGATCAGACTCACAACGATCTTCGTGATATCAGTCTGTGGCAAAATACGCACCTTGATTGCTGTCGGCCCGAGCCTGGCTATAAGATCCACTAGTTGCCGTGCTCGGAGTTTCTCATTCTCCGAGTATCTATTCAGTGTTAAGTCAAGTATGATGCTTATAGATAAGGAGGAGCACTGAGTCATAATCTGCACAGATCGCACTAGTACATCTGCAGGTCTCTTCTTGAAAAATGTCGCAATTGAACGAGGATCGTATCTCAGAGGTATATCTTCACCTTCGATGAAAGCTCTCTTGTTGCTCGTGGAAGAAACTAAAGAAACGGCTGTCACAAGAGCAACCGCAACGGCAATGGCGTTTTCAGGAGATGCGCTAACGCCCAATCCATTATAGTAGGTGCTAGCCGCAGTCCCAAATTGTACTCCAATTTTTTCTGCTGCAATAGCTAGTTCTGATGTTTCAATCTTTGCACCTCCGGTCAAATTGTGTAACTGAGAACCCAGTTCTGAAGCTAAATGAGCAGCAACAGACGTGATTTTTGAAGCAGATTGACCAAGCTGTTCGACAGCAGGTGAATTTGCAACTTTTGTAGATGCCAATTGGAGTGTATGTACAGTCTGTGATGGTAGCTCAGCCAGAGATTTTTGAACGTCTTCAACGACGCTCGCAAAGTCCTCTACTTGCAAAGAATTTGAAGCACTTGTAGAAACACGTCGACTGAATTCTAATCTCCCCGTATTCCTTGATTTGAAAGTATACAACTTGCCAAGTCTGACCCCACCGAAGCTGCAAAAATCTCTTGTGCTTCCCAGAGCAGAGTTTGACGATGTGACGCGACATTTGGAAGAAGCAATTTCGCAATTACTCGAACTTACGAAGGCCAGAGTTCCTCTACATTCTGAGAACGTTGAAATACAATTCGAAGGTCTAAGAATCCCAATCTCAGCGTTTCCAGGCTTGCTGACCATTTGGTGGACAGCCCGTAACTCCATGGTGAAAAGAAATGCTCAGTGCCTTCGACTTTCCAGCCACAGCACACTGTCTTCAAAGGAGAAAGTGAAGTTCCAAGGACTGTCTCCAAACTCACTTCAGCACTGCGGCTCAAGGTGCGTTCCCCCTACGTTATAAGTAGGTTATCATGACTCTCAAGGTTGAGATGACATTGTTTGAAAAACACAACCTCCTGCATGTATCAACACGCGGCTATATACGCGGATCCTCTCTCCCAACTCGAGGCTACAAACAGAATTTTATATGAGCTTGGGCGCTCTCTTCAACTGTTGAGGAGAAGACTGTGAGAGAAGAGATCCACCAGCGCAAAACCCAAAATCGCGCCTCCACACGAAGGACAAGGGCACGAGAGATGTCAACGGAGAGCGAATTTAACAAGCCACGAAAAACCCACGTGACAAGGAAATTCTCTACGAAATGCCACGAATGCTATCACGCCGAACGACTCATCAGTCGAGAAGCAACGAACGGGAGGAGAGGGGAGGTGAGAAGAAAGCTCAAAGCCGGAAGGTAAATTCCTCGCTCCGGCAGCACCGAACTGCGCCCCTGTATCGTCAATGTCCTACATACGACAAGAAAGCTCCCGTGCCTCCCACCACTCGAGGCAGTGGGCCCAATTTTACGCCAATAGTGAAACAGGGAAAGCTCAAGCATCTAAAGCTCTCTCGCTCTCTCTCTCTCGCTCGCGCTCATTCAATCCTCGTCGTAAAGATCGTCATCGGCCGCCATCGACGGACGAGTCGGCGAACGAGAGACTGCAGCGCGAGAGAGAAGATTCTGATATGCTGTCGCCTCCTCTTCCAATCAAACGGGCCAGCTTCAGATGCCCACCTTCGAGTTCCGCGGCTGTACACTTCCCTCGTGTCCACGAGCAGCCAGAGGAGCAGCCGTGCACGCTTCTGGGCCCATCGTCCCGCCTCTGAACCGAGTCACCCGATCTGACCTGGACGCGGGGTCGAGTTCCGGACACGTGCCTCTCCTGGCCTGCCCCGCTCCGGTTTCGGTTCGGTTCCGCAGTCTATGTCCTCGTGCCTTTACGCATCGAGTTCGAACTTTGAGGTGACGACGCCCAAAGCTCAAGGCTTTGCTTCGTTGTGGGGTAGCGACCAGCTGTAGTGGCTCTCGCGGGCATTGGCCCATGTGGCTCTGCTAACCGGTTGATTTGCATTTGGCCATTCCCCCTCGATGATTTTATGCAGTGCAAATGCCGGTGACTCTTTCTTTCACTGTGAGTTTTCTTTGGCAAACGACTCCTTGTGCTTGTGCTTGAGCTTTTTCCCTCGAGGCTGGAGAGAGGAAGACATTCAGGGTCGAGTGTGATATTGATGAATTGGATGGCTTCTGCCTCGTGACGTGCATTGGATTCGTTTGGCAGCCGAGAAATCGGACAGTGAAGTTTGACTCGTTGCTTGATTGATTGATTGAGGACACCCGATTGTTTTACCCAAGGGGAAATGGAATTGTGTGTCTTGCACTTTGGAGATGTTGTTTTCTTTGGCTTTGGCCATAAACCTCTTAACCCTAGGTTTCTTTTTCGCACAGACAATTCTCTCGACTGCCATCACTTTCAGTTTGTTCCAGGCAGTCACTCACTCCATTGTGACGTTTGATCTCCGCAACCTGGCGGACTTATTGCATAATCGTTGCAGAGAATTGTTGAGTCACATGTCGCACGCTCGGCGGCAGCTGAAAGTATGTGATTCTTACCAATCATACAAAGACCTTTGAGTCGAAGTCAATGAGCATGAAGAAACAGGAGCATCGTTGTAATCGGTCACTGAGCACTAAGCACTCTCCGCCGGCGAACAATCTTTGTCCTTCAAATGAGTTAATGAAAGGATGAGAATTACATCGATCAGTTACGTCTGATCTTGGCAGTTGTGGACGAAAGAACTCATGTTCAGACTATTGAGAAGCGAGATGTCGACCAGCAGCTGCCTAGGGATTTAGACCCTCCCGGATCATGTCAGTTACCTGGCAACCGCCTTAGAGGTAAGAAATTATCTTCTCTTGGCGTTTTCGTGAAGATGATACTCCAGTTTCATTTGTAAACGAGCTATCAATGTGACATGACATGAAGTTGTAGCTTCGTCAGTGGCTGTCTGAGTCAGCGTCACACATTTCTCGTGATGAGGTTCAAGCGTTGTACTCGTCCTCCAGCTGCGCTATCAGTTCAATTATGAGTCTACTTATTGTAGCGGTCGTCATTGTTAATAATTGAAAATTTTGGAAATTACGACATTACCTTCTTCAATGTTCTACAGTCGCAGTTTTTCACCAAACCGGACGAGGTAAAGTACACGTGCTTTGACATACATCACTACAGCAAGTATGTACACCATGCTGAGTAGAAAACTCGCCATAGAGAACAGTCCTGCCAATGCATAGTGAATATAAGAGTATTTCCAGTGACTTTGCTGCGATGTATACCTTCAGCGTATAGCGATTTCAATAATTTCGAACAGAGCGGGGATGCTTAGCATTTGTCAAAATTTGTCTTCGATTTTTGAAGAAAAATTACCTCCAGTTTCATTTCCTTGCTAGGTACGAATTGACTTTGTTGTTCGTTTGTGACGTTACGGACTAGTCGCTTCGATCTTCCTTTGCCTTTCACAACGACGTAACGGGAGAACTACCTTCAAAACAAAATCGTCGGATGGTGCATTTCTTTCAGAGACTGCAATCTCTCGGGCAGCAGTAGCTCGGACATGTCACCGACTCGTCGCACAGCCATCGCACTCAAACTCTGCCTGTAGACGGTCAAACTCCAAGGGGCGATAGCAATCCCCGCGTGTATTACTTCCGAAGCTCCAATACGGTCCACCTAGCTCGCGGCTTATGTAGAACTCTTCTTCAACAGTCCTCAATACACTCATTTGAACCTCAAAAAAAGCCCCAGAAAAAATGTTTCAAAGAAAACAAATGTGCGATGTACGAAGGAAAGAATGTCAAAAGTACTCTGCGGGTCTCGATGAATTCAACAGGTACTTTGAGCCGTACACTGATATCATGCCTCCAATTACAGGCTCCGCAGAACGAACCCAGTTGCAGGCAGGATACTCGACCATCTAATCGGTAAACCATCTCTCGAGGTGTTGGAGAAGTTTTCAGAAGAGCGGCGCGGTTTACAAGAGACAGAGACGGTATCTAGATTTGCAAAACTTCTCTATTCTTCTGTATAGCATCACCGTTTAACTGCACAGTTGAAGATTCCTACTAAAAACCGACCCAAGAACACCGAGTCTAGAGTCTAGCTTAGAACATGTAAGGGGCTCCATTTGACAGCACTTAAGGGGAAGGGAAAAAAAAATCAAAAACTGCTGCGATCAATGAAAATACTACCTACAGTTTGTGGAGCAGGTGCAAAATGGATAAGTCACTAGCAGGAGAGCAATGCGCCTCTTAGAAGAGGTGCAAAGGCGAGAATCCCCCGGAACAAGCATCACCTAAGAATTAAACTGAACTGAGTATTGATAAGATTCTCTGAGCGGGGATGCAGCAAACACTGTGCTTAGTTAGGACCTGCACTAAGAGAGGCCTGCTCTACTGTGGATGCTCGGGTGACAAAGCCTTCAATGAAAACGGGGGCGTAAAAGTTGCCCCAACATGACTATTGCTGATTCTACTTGTACATTTGTTACAAAGAATGGACGTACGAGTCTAAACAGCCACATCGCCAAGGCTTCAAAGCTTTCCTTACTTGAAAGGCGTTACTCTTTGCGCGCTTGCACCTGGACAAGAGATTTGCGGTGCGGAAGCCAGAGATGGTGGTGGCAGCTATGGTTGTCATAGATATTCAGTGCTTCGGCGGCCGTACATCTTTCTCGTCAGGGTCGTCGTCCCTGGTTCGTTTTCGCTTGGCAGCTGCTGCAGCGGCAGCCGCCGCCGCCGCGGCAGTAGCAGCCGATGGATCTTTGATTCCTGCTGTTTCATCATCATCCTCGTCCTCCTCCTCAAATTCGTCGTCCTCTTCTTCTTCGTCATCGCCCGGCTCGAAATCGCTGGCTCCTTCGTCATCCTCCGCTTGACCTATTGGTTGAACTAAATACTCGGTCCCGTACTCTTCCTCGTCCTCGTCATCCTCGTCGTCCTCCTCTTCCTCGTCCTCCTGCAGTCAAATGGTTCGCACAGCTTCAGAATAACAAGAAGAACAAGCGCCGGCCGCTGCCGGCATAGCGATATACCCCGCACAAAACTAACGTTGCAAGCGAGACGACTAATGGTCAAGGGATATTATACTCATTGCTGTGAGAAAGCACCTGACGAGACGAAGTTGCACGTCAAGGTGCTTTAGCAATAATACACAAGAGAGTTGTGCTAAGTGACTGACAAAAGCAAGCAAACTTCCGTCTATGCACTAGTTTCAAGAAGTGTTCTTGCACATAACGAGTAGAGAGAGAAGCAGGAGCAAAAACAGCAGGCACACAGCTAATGCGATACAAGCAGTGGACGTGGCAGACGAACTACAGCTAAATATTACACATGCATATTCAAAATCCTCACGACAACGTACACTTACATTACGCTTATGGCGAGGCTTAGATGAAGATGGAGGTGCATACGGTGAGGTCCAAGTAATTTGGGATTGAAGATGGGAGTTGGCTCAGACGACGGAGGAAAACAAGGCAACAAACCACGACAACAAAAACAGGGCAAACAAATGAGAGCCATAGCCAAGACGATATCTTCCTGAGGTTGGCCAAGAAAGCAGGAAGAAAACGGTAATACAGAGCGGGTTGCTGGAAAACTTTAGGTTAAACTCGTAAAATCATACCTCATCACCCTCTTCATCGTCCTCGTCGTTCTCATCGTTCTCGACCCCAAACTCTTCTGCTCCCTCCTCTTCATCTTCACCGAGCTCGCCATTCTCGTCGTCATCGTTCTCATCATTTTCTTGCACGTCGAGCTCACCCTCTGTGCTGACGAGTGCACCACTTGCTTGCTCAGTTCCTTCGTCGTCGTCATCGTCCTCTTCTCCGACTTCATCATCATCTTCATCCTCCGCCCCGTCATCTTCCTCACTTTCGTCGACATCTTGTACTTCAACGTTCTCTTCACCATCTTCGTCGTCCTCAACCTCATCTTCGTCCGACCCGTTATCGATATAAGAACCACCGGCCTGACCAGGCGCGACTACCGCTTCCTGGTAGCTGCCACCTTCCTCCTCTTCGTCCTCGTCGACTTCGTCGTTGTCCTCTCTTTCCTCATCTTCATCACCCTCGTCGTCGTCCTCGTCCTGTAGGGTAACGGCAGCGCCCTTCAAGTCCCCGTCGACACCTTCATCTTCTTCACCTTCGACCTCAATACCATCGCCGTTGACGTCGTCCACATCTTCGTCGTCGGACTCTTCCTCTTCTTCTTCATCCGACTCGGGTCTTTCATTGTTGTTGGCGTCAGCCTTGTCTAGGTACTGTAAGGATTTCATCATTTCGAAAACTCGAGCTCTGTAGTCAGGCAGGCGGGTAACCTGACACTCGTACAGATCCAAAGACACAAGTCGCAACTGAGACAAGGGGGCAAGATCCTCCAGCGACTGAATTTTGTTGTTCGAAAGATCCAGATCCCGCAACGACTTCAAACCTGCTTTAACCAAATGCTCGAGCCCACCCGCAATGCGATTATCGCTTAAAATCAACTGTTCCAAATGAGGAAGGCACGGAAAATCGGCTAGCGACGACAGACCCACGTTGGCAATAGAAAGATGTCGTAATTGTGAAAATGACTCGAAAAGAGAGGCTGGAGGCAGCCGCCCTTGGGCGCACTTAAGCGCCCCATCCAGAGTCAGCGATCTTGTGGTGCCCGGATCCTCACCTCCTCTCGCCGCCTCCACGGCTCTCTCCCAGGCCTCGTCCATAATCCTAGTGACCTATCTACGCCTGGCCAGACGAGGAAACCAGACCGAACCACCTGCTCTGCTGTGTTCCGCTCAAAACCTGCGATTTTTTCCTCGCCTGCGGGTGCCTTATCTATCCCTACCACTACCACTCGGGCCCCCGCGTCGTCGCGTTCCGGCGCGTTTCGTTACACCGCGGACAGCAAGACCGTCGAGGAAGCCATCGAACAAAAGCTTTCAAGACCACCAGCCCCTCTTGGGGCAATGCTGGAAAGCACCACCGCGGCACCGAAACTAGCAACAGCGGCAGTGTCTGAGTGACACTCCCTCGGACTCCACGACACCTTGGGTGCAAAACCCTCGTCCAAACCCGAGGGAAAGCCACAGGGCATCGAACTCCCCCTCGCTCCCTCTGCACAGTCCCAGTCTGGCACAAACCCCAAACCCTCGAATCCCTCAAACTTTTTCTCCAAGCTCCGGTCGTCCTCCTCCTCCAGCAGTTCCCGTCATCATCATCGTCATCGTGCTCCTGCTCGTTCCTTTTTTCCTCCTTCCCGCCTGCGCCGCCATCCAAAAACCTCCCCCTCTCGCCCTAACCCCATCCCTGCCCTCCCCCGTCGCTGTCGTCCTACTCTCCTCTCCTCCCTCTCTCTCTCTCTCTCTCTCTCTCGCTCTCCGGAAGAAATGTTCTTTCTCTTTCTCCTTCCTCCTACGCCCGCTGCTGCCGCTCCTCTCACATTCTTCACTTCTCCTTCCGCTGTTCCTTCTTCTTCCTCCGCGCCTCCCCCTCACGGTAGTTAGAAGGTATTTGTTTTTGGCGGTTGGGGCAAGTTCCCGTGTGAAAGCCTTCTCGTCCGCCTCTCTTCTTTTCGCCAATCTCGTCCCTCGCCATTGCCATGCACCCGCGCCTCTGTGTAACGCCTTCCCCGCGCTTCTGCCCTGCCGCGCTTTTCTGTCCACGCAAACACCCGTTGCATCTGACGATAACTCTCTCCGTCCGTCCGTTATTTTAAATCTTTATTTTTTTGAGTCTATCTCAAACGACTTTAAAGATTCCGCTCGTGAAGGTCTGGATGACAACTGGATTCATATCCCGGTAAATATCCTCTCTCTCTCCCCATCTAGTATTCTAGAGGAAAACAACAATTACCATTCCCCGCGCTTTTTGCACGCACTTACTTCCAATTTGACAATCGATTTGCATCAGTTCCACCATTGCAGCAAACGTCGACGCATGGGATAAAATACGATTAATAACCAACGGAGTAGAAGAAAAACGAATAACATACTAAATTAAAGCATCTTTCTGTCTAAAATCAAACCGACCAATTATTTCATTAAATCTTATGTTATGAATGATCATATGATTACAATAATTTATATCAAATACATGTTCTTATTAAGGTATATTCATCAGATAAATTTTTTGATTCCAAAATGGTTAACAAAATAATTGTTTCAATATTTCATTGACATACTTCAATTTCAATCATGTATGATACATGTATCATACCAAGATACGAGGATGTGACAAAAATTAATAAGACTTCATCAGATTTGATTTCATAAGCTTGAAAATCAAATGATCTATACACAAGCATGGTTATAATAGTCACACGACTAAATCACCTAAATACACATAATTTATTCTACTCAAAAAAATAAATAACATAATTCTAAAAATTGACAAATTCATGAATATATATTCTATAAAAAAATTATTATTATAAATTTTAAATCAATTTTTGTATATACGAAATGAATTAAAATAAAATATTCATTATATCAATTGCAAGTTTGATAGTATTGAATTTGAGTATAGTTTTCATTTAATAGAGTTAAAAATGTTAAATTTGATATTGTAAGCAATAATGATGTTTCAAATCATGTTTATAACTGAGATTATCATTACATTTGTATTTAAAATTTTTATGCAATCAATTCTTTCACATTATAATTTCTGTTGAGGATAACTTCTATTAAGTAGTAATCTCGTGACTTAGCTAATAATAGTTATGAGGTCGCCGGTGTTGAGTTATTTATATTCCAGGTTTTTTGTATTTCAGAGACACTTTTCTCTAAAAAAACTTAGACTCATGAGTTTACCTTTGAGTATACTTCCTATTTGGGTCAACAACTCTGGAAGAATTGTCTCCCTAGGTGCTGGTTGCTAGGCTTGCGTGTTTCATTGTAGGATTTTACAGTTTACAATTTCTTCTTTGTTTTTCAGAAAAATCTGTATTGATATAATTTTGAATTCATTTGAAGATATTTTATATAGATATAAATCAAAATGTGAATTGATCATTAGTGTTTATGAATATTTTACAAAAACAAAACAAACAATATATAAGCTTTTTTCGAAAATTTTTAATTAAGAACAATATTTGATTTAGTTGTTGTTCAGTAACAAACACATTAATTTGGGAAAACAAATAGATTATTTTGAAATTTCAAATTCAATCTCAAAATTGTATATCTTACTTTTAAGAGATAAATTTCAAAAAAATAAGATATCCTCATTTAGAAATATGTTCACAGTTTCTTGCAATATTTATTCAAAAAATATGAATATTGTGAAAAAATTTGAAATTTTTTTAATTTTCTAAATCTTAAATATATACTTGCATGATTTTATACAAGCAATATGGAATGAAATTTATTTCTTGTATACAGATTGTTTTATATCGAATTTATTCAATTAAATAACTTATATTTGAACATTGATTATGATATGATGGCAAAAAATTTAGACATATTTTTTAAAGTTTGAATAACTTAATTTGTTGGTTTCAATAAAATCCTAAATTTTTCATAAATCCACTATCTATAACATATACAATATTTTGTTTATAAAATATTATTTCAAATTCAAAATTTTCAATATATTCAGTTCATATTCTTACAAATATATGTTCATATACTTTTTGAAAAGTATTTGACGAGTTGATTTCAAAAAATGAATACTAAATTATACATTTAAGCAATAAGTTACATACATATAATTATGAATTGTTATTAAAATCTAAAATTTTAGATGATTGTAGTGAATATCAATCTTTAGATTACACAAAGGGATTTTTTACTTTATAATTTAAAAATTTTTATTATTTTGAGATGTAAATCTGTTAAAAAAATATATTAAAAAAAATCACACCTATTTAAAATTATTTATATACGTAAAAATCAATAAATATAAACAAATGGAGAAAAAACAATTGGCAAATAAAATTTCTTATATTTGACAATGTGTAAAAAAATTAAAGTTGAAATTATTTCACTTTCTATTTTTAAATAATTCGGAATATTGCATTATATATTTTTGAAGCTAACTTGTTTTTCGAGAAAAAATTCTTGAATTAATCATTTAAGTCTACACATTTTTTTTAACATTCTGAAATTTATGTTTTTTATTGAAACTATTCAAAAACTCACGATGACGATAATAAATTTCAAATGATCTTTATTGTTAAAAAATATTTTTTAAAAATTATTTATAACATAATAAAATACAACAGCTGAAGAGTTATTACTCATGCTTACATGCATAGAATTTTGAAAATTATTTGATTTTAAAAACAATTCTACCTATGAAATATTAGCGATTGTTCAATTTCATGTAAATATAATGAAATTATATAGTATTATATAATAACGATGATATAATACTATACAATAATATTGTATGATTTTTTAATCTTTGTTAATTATTATTAATTTATTAATTATTTTGAGAAATATTGAAAAAATATGTGGGGATTGACAAGCTATTATTTGTTTAGTATATCGCACTGAACTAGATTATGATCAAAATCATCAACCTAAATTTGATTCACAATATTATTTTTTGTACAAAATTATCTATATGATGGATTGTTAGCTACAATGTTTTGAAAACCACCAAACAACATAATGCCACGTTCGATCAAAAGCTTCAAATTCATAAATCTAGAAGACAAATTTAAAAACTTATTTCAAGTAAAAAAGAACAAACTTTGTAAAATAATAATAATTATGATATATTAATGATTTAAAATATTTAGAATGAAAATTAAGATAATTTTGCTCTTATGTATACTTCAAATGCGACATCAGTTTGATATCATCTTATGATGGGTATTTAAATTTATAAAATATTTGAATCCATTGTGTATGATTTACTTGAGATTCTTTACTTTGGATCAGATGAAATGAAATTGATAAATAAATATGTTTAATCTTGGAACGATATTTTCATACAGAATTATGCAAATAACAAAAGAATTAAAATTTTAACAATCAACAATTAATTAACATTAGGGAAATATTTACAAAAATACCAAAAAAATATTTATAATACATCTATTTATTTACAATCATAAATAAATGTTAAGAATAAAAATTGTTGAACATCTTTTCATCATGAAAATTTGAAGTAATTTATCTCAAACAAATATAAAAATGGATAATTTATTTTTTCAAAAAATCTGGTTTAAGTGAAATCTAAAAACTATTATTATTATATGAAAATTTTAATTATATGTAAATTTGAAATATAGATTATAATTTTGAAATCGTCAAGAGATCATTGTGGCGTACTTCATGCTCATATGGTATTCAAAATTTCAAAATTTTTGAGCAAATAAACAAAAAATTAGTTAAAAAAATCGGAATATTGACCTTTTGAATTTCAATTGACAGATTTTTGAATCATAACAATTTATTAAAAACATAAGCCAAACATTTAAAAAGCTAATACGGAATAAGATTTCAAAATCAAATCAAAATAGAAGAAGTTGATACAAATAAATATGATGTGTAATTATTCAAAAATATGAATATTTAATTTTCAATTAAAATATTTGTGATTAATATAATAAAGTATGAACACAAATTTTAACAAGCGTTAAAATGACTCCCTTAAAATTTGTATGCCTTAATTTTGTGTTCAAACTCAATATAAATTTTGCTTGATTCATTTATATAATACATGATTTTGTTACTTAATTTTGAGTTATAATCAACAATTTGAACTTAAAATAAAACATAGATCATTTCCCAAAAAATGAATGAATCTTAAATATCCATATGGTACTTACTTCATCTAATATGATAAAATGATTAATCAAATCTGATTAATCATTTTAGATGAAAGAGTGAAATTTATTTAGTATGTGTAGAACATAGTTTTTCACCTTTGAGTATGGAATCCTCGTTATGCATCTATATGGTCATCATGTCATAAAGAATAAGCATAAATGTCAATAACCTCAAATTAAATAAACCTCGATTTTCTTTTGACTCTTGAAGTTATTTGAAATATTAAATTCTGTAATAATGGCTTGTGATGAGTAAATTCACATTTTCATATGTTCATATATTCTAATTGATAAAATAAAGTAGGTTTTCAAATTCGGATTTTTTCATTGGAGTAATATAATTCCTTTAAAATTTAATTCTATTAAAAAAAACCAAATGATACCATTATTACAAATTTATGTACAAAAAAGCTTAAATATTGTTATTTCTATATTTGTAAAAAACCATCAACTTGAAAGTTAATCTAAGTGCACATGTTTGAAAATATTTAATTTGATTCAAAATGGATAACAAACCACAGTAATAACATACATCATTAAAATAAAAGTTTTTTTCCAGGAAAAATGTTTGTAATTGAATAAGTTCTTAAAAATTTTAAAAAAATTCAATTTACAATTAATTCTCATCATTGTAGTAAAACTATCAAAT